CAGTTACAAGTCAGCAAGCTACAAGTAAAGTGAGCGGAGAATTGAGTTGCGAATAAGCAAGCTATAAGTTTAATTGTGTTAACAAGTAGTAAAGCGTTGTTATTGCTTTAACAAGTATTGTAAAGTGTCTTTACTGTATTAGCAAGTATTGTAAATTGTTTGTTGTACAATAAAGTTAATTGTACTACAATTCGGTCATCGTTAGCATTTATTTAACAATCCAGCGATACGAGCCCGAGTATATTTGGGTAATCCCTAAAGGTTTCGAGGATAATCGTAACAATTGGTGTCAGAAGTGGGATTGTTAAATAAATCCCGAAGGAGAAACTACTAAAAATGGCGAAAATTCAGGACTTAAAAATTGAGGAGCTGAAACAGGAGTGGGAAAAGCGTAATTTGGCCACCTTCGGAAGAAAAGTGGAATTGTTATCCCGGTTGCGAGAGGCTATGGAAGCTGAAGGCATCGACGTGGACAAATACCACTTCCAAGGTAAACCCGACGATACATCCGCAAAGGACGAACAGAAGGGTGAGGATGCATGTTCGTCGAAGGATGTGCAGCAGACATCCGGGAAGGTTGAAGAACAGCAAAAGTCTCCAAGTTCATCAACAGCTATGGACATGAACACGTTATTGGCTGCCATGTCACAGATGTCATCTCAGATGCAAACACAGTTGTCAGATATTTCGTCGCAGCTACAGGCACAGAAGACACACGTATCACAGTTGCTGGAAGTCCAGGATGCAAAGATTACACAACTGCAGGAGAATTTGGCTAGAGATAACGAACAAATCAAGGATAGACAGGATAAAGTCGAGGCTAAGGTAGAAGAGTTGGAAGGTCGCCTCCGAGATATGCAGTTGAATCGCCCACCTTCTTCGACCAGCGCGCCCAAGGTAAAGACTCCATCCTTTGACGGCACGATTCCTTTCCAAGTCTTTAAGCTCCAGTTTGAGAAGACAGCTACAGCAAATCACTGGAGCATGGAGGATAAATCCGCTGCACTGTTCGTTGCATTAAAAGGACCTGCAGCGAAAATCTTGCAGACTATTCCTGATTGTGAAAGGAACAGTTACGATGCGTTAATGGGTGCAGTGGAAAGACGTTATGGTAGCGAGCACAGGAGACAGATTTACCAGATGGAGCTGGAGAATCGCTGCCAGAAATCCAACGAGACTCTACAAGAATTCGCCTCCGAGGTTGAAAGGTTGGCTCATTTGGCAATTGGAGATGCATCTGGTGAGCACCTCGAAAGAGTAAAAATCCAGAGGTTCATCAACGGAATGCGGGACGTGTATACCAAGCGCG